GTGGACTATTCAAGTCAACACATAAAAGTAATAATCACATGAACAAACTTTTTTTTGAGATGGAATCTCACTCTGTTGCCCAGTCTGGAGTGCAGTGGTGTGCTCTTGGCTCACTGCAACCTCTGCCTCCCGGATTCAAGCGATTCTCCTGCCTCAGCCTCCTGAGTAGCTAGGACTACAGGCGTCCACCACCACGCCTAGCTAATTTTTGTAGTTTTAGTAAAGCGGGGTTGCACCACATTGGACAAGCTGGTCTCGAACTCCTGACCTTGTGATCTGCCCATCTCGGCCTCCCAAAGTGCTGGGATTACAGGTGTGAGCCACCGCGCCCAGTCAAACATTTTTAAAATCATGGAATATCTCTATTTAATGTAAAAGAAAAATTCATGAAAACCTGCTGAGAACATTTGATTACAGAACACTATGTGAAGTATGAGTACAAACACTAATACAAATACAATGTGTGTACACACAGAACTATGCACACTGAAAAATATGAAAGGATAGGAACTGTCAAGGGAAGTCATCTTTGTGTGGTGAGATTATGAGAAGCTCACTTTTCACTTCTTACATTCCTATAGTTTAAAAATTTTTAATAATTATATGTTACCTTTGTAAATGAAAAAAATATATTTTAAAGATATTCAGAAAAAGAAGATATATTTGGTTATTTATTTAACTTTTTTAGAACTATGAAGGAAACTTGTAAACTACGGTGTAAACTAAGATTGGACATTAAAATGTGGGCCTCTAGAAATAAATGCAGAGCACATTTCCTTAAAAACAGGATTCTTATTCTACAAAAAGTTTCAAGAATGAATATCATGGAAATTTCAGAACCATGAAATAAAGATATTTAAGGAAGTAATTTCCATTAAATCAATCCCTGAGGTTACAATAAACAAACTCTGGAGAAGCTGTCTCTATAAAGCTGAACATGAAAAATAATGTTTCAAATACTCAAATTACTAAGGTGTGTCCCAGTAACATATGGCAAATTGTGAAGTCTAATAAAATTAATATCTATACTATATTCACTCTGCTACTGAAAAGTATTATCTCTGGTAGAGCTATTTGGTGTCTAATTATCCCCCCTCCAAATTCCCAAACTGGCATTTTTAACTGAGACAGTTTAATAATAGTTTTTGAGGGTTCCCGATGATTTGAAAATGGGGAGCAAGAAGCAACATATCACTTATTTTATCCTTGATACCACCTAGAATGTTAGTCCATGAAGCAAAATTAACTTTATTATCTTAACAACATTTTACTGATGAATGTCCATTTTATTTGCCATAATATGAGTTATCAAATAAATTTGAAGGAAAGGAAAAGGGAAGAAAAAGGGAGACATGACATCAGTTATAGAGAGTTATACAAATGTAACCTTTTCAAGAATCTTTACCCTTAAAGAATGTATACAAGCCAATCAGTAACTAAGTGTAATGTCAATAAAGACAAATAAGAGCTGTCAGTTATAGGTGAGCAGAAGATAACAAAATTTAAAGTTGTATGTAAACAATGAAACATTACACAAATGTTAGCTATTATGAAGAGGGCTTAGCTTAGAACCTTGCATATGGTAGCCACTCAAAGAAATGAATTTATGTAGGGGGAGAATCGCGAACCTTACTTCTCAAAGGGAAGGGCCTTGTTAATAATTTAAAAGAAGTTTTCCCCGGGGCGTCGTGGCTCACGCCTGTAATTCCAGCACTTTGGGAGGCGGAAGTGGGTGGATCACGAGGTCAGGACATTAAGACCATCCTGGCTAAAAAACACAGTGAAACTCCGTCTCTACTAAAAACACAAAAAAATTAGCCGGGTATGGTGGCGGGTGCCTGTAGTCCCAGCTACTCGGGAGGCTGAAGCAGGAGAATGGCATGAACCCAGGAGGCAGAGCTTGCAGTGAGCCAAGACCATGCCACTGCGCTCCAGCCTGGGCGACAGACCGAGACTCCATCTCAAAAAAAAAAAAAAAAAAAAGTTTTCAATTATTTCAGAACACTGCCCTATAAGCACCTCACAATACAAGGTAAATCTCTGAAATCTCAGTTTTCCACTAGGTTTTAAAAAGAAAATGCCTGTTATCATATTCCTCCATTTTTCATTTCACAGAAGTCTTAGAAGTAGAGACCATCACTCTATATACTGTATATGTATCTTAATGCATACATTCATATATATATACACATACATTCATATACATACATACACACATATCTAGCTATATATAATATGCTGATCTATCAAAAATTCCTGTGTAATAATGGGATTATAAATATTGTGTGAATAAAAAACCTGTCCATCAATTGCTAGTCTCTAAGTAATTTTTCAAGAACATCAGAAACTCCACTGTTTTCTGTGCATATCCACAGGCTAATCACTTAAACCTACCATGTTTTTACCTTAATTCCCCTGGTAATATCAGACAGAATTAGTTCCTGTCTGAAAGTGCTCAATCCTTGGGTTAATTATTTCCAGAAGCCCAAAAGTTTAGTCTTTTTTATTTTAATTTTTTTTATTAAATGAAAGCATTATACTCAACTAAATATAACCATCAAAAGAAATCAACACAATTGGTAAATTCACTTGTCTTTGAACTTGAAGGGCTTTAGAGATACTGTGGGCTTTATTCCAGACCACTGCAATAAAGCCAATACTGCAAAAAAAGTGAGACACAGAAATTTTTTGATTTTCCATTGCATAAAAAAGTTATGTTTATACTATGTTGCAGCCTATTCAGTGTGCAATAACAGTAAGTCTAAAGAAAACAGCGTATATATCTTAATTTAAAAATACTTTATTGCTAAAAAAAGTGCTAATGGTCATTTGAGATTTTAGTGAGTGGTGATGTTTTTGCTGGTGGAGGGGCTTGCCTCAATGTAGATGGGTACTGACTTTTCAGTGTGGTGGTTACTGAAGGTGGCGGTGGCTGTGGCAATTTCTTAAAATAAGACAACAATGAAGGCTGCCACATTGACTCTTCCTTTCACAAAATGTTTGTTTCTGTAGCATGCAATGCTGTTTGCTAATAGTTTACGCACATTGGAACTTCATTAAAATTGGAGCCAATCCTCTTAGTTCCTGCTGCTGATTTATCAACTAAGTATATGGAATATTCTAAATCTTTTGTTGTCATTTCAACAATGTTCACAACATCTTCACCAGGAGTAGATTCCATCTCAAGAAACCATTTTCTTTGCTCATCCAAAAAAGCAATTCCTCATCAGTTTAAGTGTTATCATGAGATTGCAGGAATTCTTCACATCTTCGGGCTCCACTTCTAATTCTATGCCTCTTGCTATTTTTACCACGTCACTGAAGTGGTGATTCCCTCAAAGTCATCCGTGAGGGTTGGAATCAACTTCTTTCAAACTCCTATGTTAACTTACTTCCATGAATCATAAATGTTCTCAATGGCGTCTAGAATGGTACATCCTTTCCAGAAAGTTTTCAATGTATTTTACCCAAATATATCAGAGGACTCAATATCTATGGCAGCTATAGCCTTAAGAAATGTATTTCTTAAATAAAATACTTGAAAGTCAAAATTAGTCCTTGATGGGGATGCACGGATTGCAGAATGAATCTTGTGTTAGAAGGCATTAAGAAAAAACCTCCTTATACATCTTCATCAGAGCTCTTAAGTAGCCATGTGCATTGTCAGTGAGCAGTAATGATTTGAAAGAATTTTTTTGTAAATAATAGGTCTCAACAGTGGGTTTAAAATATTCTGTAAACCAGGCTGTAGACAGATGATATCTGTAAACAGATAACATCTGTTTGTCATCCAGGCTCTGTTGTTCCTTTTATAAAGCATAGTCGGAGTAGACACAGTATATTTCTTTTTTTTTGAGACGGAGTCTCGCTCTGTCGCCCAGGTTGGAGTGCAGTGGCTGGATCTCAGCTCACTGCAAGCTCCGCCTCCCGGGTTTATGCCATTCTCCTGCCTCAGCCTCCCGAGTAGCTGGGACTACAGGTGCCTGCCACCTCGCCCAGCTAGTTTTTTGTATTTTTTTAGTAGAGACGGGGTTTCACCATGTTAGCCAGGATGGTCTCGATCTCCTGACCTCGTGATCCGCCCGTCTCGGCCTCCCAAAGTGCTGGGATTACAGGCTTGAGCCACCGCGCCCGGCTGACACAGTATATTTCTTAAGAGTCCTAGGACTTTCAGAATGATAAATTAGCATTGTTCCACTTAAAGTCACCAGCTGCATTAGCCCCTAACAAAAGAGTCAGCCTGCCCCTTTAAGCTTTGAAGCCAGGCATTGACTTCTCCTCTCTAGCTATGAAAGTCCTAGAGGGTATCTTATTTCATATAAGGCTGCTTCATCTACCCTGAAAATCTATTGTTTAGTGTAATCACCTTCACCAATAATCTTAGCTAGATTTTCTAGATACCTTGCTGCAGCTTCTCCATCAGCACTTGCTGTTTCACCTTACACTTTTAGGTAATGGAGATGGCGTCTTTCCTTAAACCTCATGAACCAACCTCTGCTAGCTTCAAATTTTTTTCTGCAGCTTCTTCATCTCTTTCAGCCCTCCTATGTTTAAAAAGAGTTAGGACCTTGCTCTGGACCAGGCTTTGGCTTAAGGGAATGTTGCGACTGGTTTGATCTATCCAGACCACTCAAACTTTCTGACTCAGCAATGAGTCTCTTTTGCTTTCTTATCATTTGTGTGTTCACTGGAGTAGTACTTTTAATTCCCTTCAAGAACTTTTCCTTTACAATCACAATTTGGATAACTGTGCAAGAGGACTAGCTTTTGGCTTATCTGCATTTTTGACATGCCTTCGTCACTATGCTTAATCATATCTAGCTTTTGATTTAAAGAGAGAGAGAGGCCACTCTTCCTTTCACTCGGACACTTAGAGGCCATTACAGGGTTACTAACTGCCAAATTCCAACATTGCTGTGTCTCGGGAATTAGGGCAGCCTGGGGAGAGAAAGACAGGAAACAGCCAATGGGCGGAGCAATCAGAGTACACACAACATTTATCAGTTATGTTCGCAGTCTTTCATGGGCATGGTTTGTGGCATCCGCAAACAATTACAATAGTAATATCAAAGATCACTGATCACAGATCATCATACAGGTATAATAATAACGAAAAAGTTTGAAATATTGTGAGAATTATCAAAATGTGACACAGAGACACAAAGTGTCCCCATAACGCTAATACATTTGCTTGAGGAGAGTTGCCACAAACCCTTAATTTGTAAAAAGCACACCATCTGTGAAGCACAATGAAGTGGGGTATGCCTGTATAAATAAGCTGGACCTACATCTGAGCGTGGCTGCTAGGTCATTTATCAGCAAACATGCATATCTATACATTCAATCACTTCCTTCATTTTGTGAATTATATTCAATATATTCGTTTTGGTCAGGGTCTAATCAGGAAAACTGAAACCATCCTAAGAATTTTAGTGGCTATTTAATTAAAGAAACTGATTACACAAGTATGGGAAAGTCAAAAGAATAAGAAGGGGATGATGAACAGTAACTCCAAGAAACTGCGACCTTCTCAGGGTTGCAGAAACAGAAGGAAAAAGGCAGTATTGCTACCTCTATCAAAAAGAGGAGGACAGCGAGCCATGGTGTGTCTTGGAGCCCTGAGGTGGCACCGCAGGGCTGGCATCCACCGCTCCGAGGCATCTCTGTGCAGCTGAGACTCAGGTGTCTCAGAGGGTTAGTGCAGAGCTATGTTCAAACCTTTAGGGGCAGGGCCCAGGAAGTACTCTGGTCACCATGGTGTGGCTCCTGTAACCCGACGAGGCCTGGTGAGGGCAGTGCTCACTGTCCAAAAGGCCTTGTGTGGCTGATACAGTTGATGGTGGCATTTCTGAGGAAAATGGTGCAGTTGGTGCCAAAGGACTTGGGAGGAATACTAAACACAGAAGAAAGCATGAAAAAGCCCCTTCTCTCCTCCTCGTGATGTCCACTTTCCTGCCAGTACCTCCCACTGGTGGAATAGATCTGCAAGGCGGCTGTAACAGTGGCTTGGGGCATCAGTCCCCCATCTGGCTGTGCCTTCGCCCAAGATGTCTAGGTCCCAGCTCTGCAGGGCATCCTCACTAATGCTAAGTTTTGATGATGCCAAATCTTCAGCTTAGTTTCCCCAGCCTAGGGGTGACAGTTGCTTCCATCATATGTCAACCTCAGTGTTTCCTTTTTGGCTTTTCTGTCTTCCATTATCCCGGTAACCAACTGTCTATAGTAAATTATTTCCGTTACTATAAATGTTATTGCTTCTGTTTTCCTGACTAGATGCTGATTGGTACCGATCTCACTTTTTCTACGGGCCTGTCTTGAGTTACTAGTTAGATGAAATAATCACTATGGCTTGAAGGGCTAAGACGTTTGACCAATGTCAGCTTGTTCACATGTCAAGGTTTTCCAAGTAAATAAACAAGTGCGTGCTGGGCAGACAAAAACTACAAGTCCTAATTACGCCACCCTTACAAAACAGGCTCTTGTTATTCTCTGCCTAACTCCCCCATTGTTTCCTTCATGAAACCGATCATAACCTGCGGTGTTTTCTGTTTTCTTGTTTTTGTTTGTCCCCCTCCACAAATTAAAGCCCATGAGGGCAAGGACTGTGTCTGTCTCATTCACCACTACCAAACAGGGTCTGGCACAGTCCCACGCTCAGAAAAGGTGCTTGGTAATTATTTGTTGAATGAATTAACAAATGAACAAACCAACCTGGAAAAAATCATGGCTTGAGATTAGTCAGAATTAACAAACAAGAAAGAAGATGTCTTAGTCAGTTTGGTTGCTATAGCAAAAGTAGCATAGACTGGGTCGCTCACACTTCTGGAGGCTGGGAAGCCCAAGATCATGGTGCCAGCAGATTTGGTGTCTGCACAGGGCTCTCTTCCTGGTTTGCAGACAGCCATCTTCTTGTATCCTCACATGGCAGAAGAAGCAAGCTCTAGTCCCTCTCTTCATATAAGGCCACTTATCCCACTGTGGAGCGCCACTGTTATGACTTTATTGAAACATAATTAACTCCCAAAGACCCTATCTCCTAATTCCATCCCATTAGGGGTGAGGGTTTCAACATGCGAATTTTGGAGGGGCACAAATATGTAGTCCATAGCAGAAGAGTAATGTGGTGTCAGAACTGCAGATCAAATATTTACATTACTATACATCTGTAACAATTTAGAGTGTGTGCTACCAAGGCAAGAATAGATAATAGAACGGAACGGATAGACCTTACAAAGATGCTAGTCTACTTAAGTGGCAGTTATGATATTAATGAAGGAATTCCTCTAGGTCCTGATGTATTACATTTAAAAATCAGTTAACTCAGAAAGGGAAAATCACCCCACAACAACTTTGTCCCATGCAATGTAGTTTCAGTGTATAAAATAACTTTTGTACCTTTGGTAACAACATGTCCTTATTTAGTCAACATACATAATTATTTTTAATGCATTACACACGAATTGTACCTAATTTGCCCATTTAATAAAGAAAGTCACCAGATCAGGCGCCTATGTAAGTAACTCTTCATGCTTAAAGTCGAATTCATGGGACCCTGAAAAGTCATTTATTGAGCTGCTTCTACTTAAGACCACAAAATTTGTCCCTGGCCAGTGGGAAGATACCTTATGTTCAAAAACTATAGAGAAATAATTCATAACTCCTAGACACCCATCAAAAAGTCTACCCCATATTTAACTCTACTCATTTGCATTTTAAACCCATACTCCCCCTCTTGATGTGGAGTATTCACCATAACAAGCTGCAAACTTTGTGTCACAAAACTGAATTTTTAAAATACCCTGATTTTTTATGATAATGTCTGACTTCAGATTTGTATGTATCTAACTCTTGTGAACCTGCTTAGGATGATATATTAAAGATATGTCTGTGACAGAAGACCACTTTAATCAATGCGATATATTCAGAGGATATAATCATCATTTCGATTTAAAATACCAGTCTCCTTCTTGCATCAGTACTGCATAAACAAACGAGTGACATTTGTAATGTTTGTAATCCTTGCCTTCAAATGCTATGAATGTTCGATTTCTGATTCTATATGCTAATTTTATGTTCTCTGTGCTAGGTTTATTTGGGAATGATTTTGATTAAATCTTAGCAGAAACAGACTTCCTACATAAACCTGGCATCCTAGATATTTTCCATATGGGAAACGGCTTCTTAAAAGCAAGGCAAGAAATCTATTATTTAGGGTTGATGGAGTAAGAAAGGAGCATGGAGTCAGATTTTTGCATCACATACAACTGGGTTCAAATCTTGGTTCTATCAATCCCCAGTTTGATCTTCAGCAGTTTCTTAAGTGCTCTGAGCTTCTGTTTATCACTTTAAACAGACTGAAGAATCAGACTAATACCATTTACTGTGCAGAACTGCTATGAGGATAAAATTATATTGCATATATAAACAAAGTACTGATGTACTATGGTACAGTACTACAAAGTACAGTAGCATAGTGTCTGACATATACTGACTCCTTAATACAATGCTAGTTCCCTTCCTTTTCTCCTAAGGACTACAAGGTATTAGATGGGTAATTCCATGTGCCAAGAAATAACCAATAATGAATGATTTAAAAATATTTCGGGGAAAGGGAAAGTAGGAGGAACTGGAGTAGCATCAATACTTCACTGCAAAGCATGTATAGAAAGTCCGCTGGAAGAGCTGACCAGTGGCCAGTCTGACCTGGCAGCCTGCCACCAAGGAGCATTTTGGAGGAGGCTGTAATGACACTCCTTATTCCAACATGTCCAGCCCCTCTACTTAAATGGTACAGATTTCTGGTCCATAGACTTCTCTAAACCAGCCCTGGATGGATGTATATTTTGCATTTCTTCCTCTACTGTAGATGGTGGACTCTTATAGTTTGCATGAGGTTTACAATGTGGTCCCCTAAGTTAATATTTCAAAATCTTTTCAATAAACCTTTCTGATTTTATAAAGCTGGGTACTGACACAGGTTGGCAACATGGATGTGGGCTGATAGTCCCTTTTGGGGAGGCCCAAATACATTTCCAGTGGACACAGATGGCTTACTATTATTCTTTCTCACTTTTGTCATTTGAAACACTGATCATTTGAGAGAATCAACTCTGAACACCACTATTTACACCAACCCACCACCAACAACAGACATAACACCGATTTAAATATTCAGTTTAAAGGAAATCATTTACTTAAAGCAAAACCCAAAACCCTTGAAGACCAGGACCTAGGGGTGGTCCTCACAGTTGAGGGAGTATCATGTAAAGATCATAAATTTGGCAATAATTGAGAAAATAATAAAGTATTATTTTAAGATAGCATACATTTAGAAAGGTAATATAATAAGTTGGATCATGTCTCATCCAATTTATGTCCACTTGGATCCTCAGAATATGACATGTGGAAAAGGGTCTTTGTAGATATAATTAGTTAAGGATCTCAAGAGGAAATCATCCTGGTTTTAAGGGTGCCCTAAACCCAATGACCAGTGTCCATACACAAGGAAGGACACAGGAAGACACAGAAAAGAAGGCCATGCCAA